AGAGAGAGAGAGAGAGAGAGAGAGAGAGAGAGTAACAAAAAAGGAACACTTCATAAAAAGCATACTTTGTGGACATATTTATATTATTTCGGGTGGGGGGTGAATGATCCTAGAAATTGTTATTATTATCGTAGCTTGTCCTCAGAAACTATCAGCACACGTTACCATGAGTTTAGCGCACGGAATCGCACAGCTCACCTAACATGCAGTGCTGTGCGCGAGATGCGTTGCGTTGTCATTGATTTGAATAGCACCCCAACACATCTCCTGGCATTTGTACTCTGCGTTGAAAAAAATTAGCGCATGCACGACTTTTTTTTACTGCAATGCACAGAATTGTAGTACGCCACTGAGAGGTTTGTTGGGGTGCCATTGAAATTACTGGCAACACAATGCATCTAACGCACGGTATCACACGCTAGGTGCACTGTGTGACAGCATGAGCTATATTGTGAATCCCATGCACATACATGGAATTATGTGCTTGTGTACATGGGCATTTATATAAAATTAAGCCTTTTTTATTGTTATGCAGATTTAATAAATCTGTTTAGGCTAGGTTCACACCTAGGCGATTTATCGTGTAGATTTACCTGGTCCATATCGCACAAAACACAGATTCCCCTTGAAGTCAATGGGACCTGTTTACACCTTTGCTTTGCGTCGCGCGGCCGAAATCACTGGTCGCGCAAAAAGGTGCAGGAGCTATTTTTGGGCGGTTGTCTGAGAGAGCAGCCGGGACTGATTCCGATAATACTGTTGAGATCCACCCCGCTGATTGAGAGCTGATTCTGCCTTTCTAGAGGCAGAGCCAGCTGTGCCGGCCCCTCCCCGTTCATTCTTCCAGTCAGGGGAGGGGGGAATCCCTGCGGGGAGTGGTGACTGACAGTCACTGCTCTCTGCAGGGAGAGTATTGGGAAGTCAGCGATCAGCGGTATGTGTTCCCTAACTTCCTGATCAATAAAGTCAACCTGTGACAGTTTCAGTGTCACGGGTTAGCTTGAATCATAGGGATGACCCCATAATTCTCCTTTAGGCCCCATTCACACTGAGCGATTTATTGAGCGATCTTTGCAGCGATATCGCTCATATTTCCACGCGATATCGCTCTATGTAGCTTCTCCAAACCATTTCAATGGAGCTGTTCACATCTCGTCGCTCAATATCGCTCAATATTGCTTGTAGCTCCTACATGACCCTTTTTTTGAACGATTTCGAGCTGTTCTGCATACAGCCCAATAGGAAAAAGTTGCGCGATGTCGCGCGATGTCGTTCACACAGCCAACCGCTGAATACATGGACTGTTGGTTTGCGCTGGGAGAAACAGTGCTGATGCACCCATCTCAGCACAGTGCAATGTTTACTTTTTTTTTCTTAGAGATATTGAGACATCACAGTTCTAACAACCCTTTTGCTTCAGTGCTTGAAAATACGGACCCTGCTTAAGTTTGGAAATAATGACTTTTGACTTTCCTCATCTGCATACTTGTCCCAGGTGAGTGAATTTGAATGTATTGAAGCCAGTGTTTCAGCACAACAGCCTGAGACCTGTTGGTTATGTGTTTAGATGAAGCACTGAGATCCTGAGGAATGCTGAATTAAGTTTTACTTGCTTATAAGAACATTACATCAGAATACAGCATTATGCAGCATGCAAAGAAAACTTCCTGTGTTTATCATAGATAAGCATGAACATACAGACCAGCATAGACTAGCATTGCACTACAGCGCCATCTATAGCTCAAAAGACATAACAGTACATTAGCACATTTTGCTGCATTTCCAACAATGAAAACCTCCATATTTCTTTCGTGACAGGTTTACTTTGTACAGCGCTGCATGACGGAATAAATGTCAGTCAAAGTACCACAGCGCTGAATACTGAAAAATGGCCTGGATGGGAAGGGGGTTTAACACCCCGGATGTCAACTGGTTAAGTAGACAGCAGAAAAAAAAGCCTATTTCACATGAGTTTTATGTTTCCCAATAATTACATTGCAGCCAGCAAAGTTTTCCCGGAAATTATTTTAACATTCTGGCAACTATACACTTGAGATTTTCCTCTAGCTCAAGGCTGCAAGTCCTAAAATATAAGTAAATAATTGCACAGCACTGCCCTGGTGACTTGTTGTCAATTGCTGATAAGACAATTTTTGCCCAGAGAAAAATTACAATCTATTCACATCAATTGTATCTGACAATTGCCTGGCACAAAGAGCATAATTACACCAATAAACCAGAGCCTGATTAAGACCAAATGGGGTTCTAGGCAGGGAAACAGCTTTGAGACCTCTTTGATCTCTGGCCCCTGAGCTACCTGCCATTACATTAACACGTGGTAATTAGTATACACAAAACATAGTTATTCTTCCCTATGGTCCTGAAAAGATCACATTTATATGGAAGATCTTTTACTTTATCATGTGTGGTAAGCAAAAGCATTAAACTGACTAAAATGTAATTCGCCAAATAGTCTACAAAATAAAATGGGTACACATCTCATGCTAGTTGTTAAGGGACCTATTATTTTATTGAAGCAGTTTATTTATTTATTTTTTATTACAGGTATTTATATAGCGCCAACAATTTACACATTTATGCAGTTTACATAGTTGCACATTCCCATCAGTCCCTACCCTCATGGAGCTTACAATCTAAGGTCCCTATCTCACATGCATACATAGAGGGCCAACTTGGAGAGGAGCCAATTAACCTACCAGCATGTCTTTGAAGTGTGGGAGGAAACCGGAGTACCTGGAGGAAACCCACGCAAGCACTGGGAGAACATGCAGACTCCTTGCAGATAGTGACCTGGCCGGGGACCCCCAGTGCTGCAAGGCAGAAGCGCTAACTACTACGCCACTGTGCTGCCCAGTTTATGCTGCTGTAACTCTTCCCCTGTCGCCCATCATAATAATTGTGGGCAGACCTGTTGTCTTTGTGTGGCCAGTGCTCCAGCCCCCAAACCCACCCCATGTGTATTCACTGGCAGGAACAGGCACTTGCACTGGTCACATTATCATCAATCTGCCTGATTTCTCCGTCTGCTCCTACCACCACCAACATTATCAGAATGCTGCGGATGATTACCCAGAAGGGGCAGCCATGGTGACAATCAATGTAATGAACTAAATTGCTCACCACCAGCAAATTAAGGGGCACACTGAGCACTAACCGCATACGTATAAGAGCACAATCAGCACTGACCGAACATGTACTGTGGTACACTGAGCACTGACCACCAGTGTGAGGGGGCACACGGAGCACCATCCACCAATGTAAGGGGGCACACTGGCCACTAACCACTAATGTAAGGGGGCACACAAGGCACTGACTACCAATGTAAGGGGTGAAACTGAGCAATAAACACTCATGCTTAGGGGCACCATAAGCATAAGCACTAACCACTAATGTAAGGGTGCACAATGACAAGCAAAGCAAGGGGGGGGGGGCACTGAACACCAGTGGAAGGGGAAGTACTGACCACCAATGTGAGGGG